GGGATGGGGAGCAACCGCTCTCATGGGCCTCATGAGAAAGTGGGAATTTTCTGTAATATTTTTAATCCTGTGTGCCTCAGTTTCCCCTGTGCTGTATTGTTACCCAGTGGGCTGTTTGTTCTGATGTACCCTCAGACCTGAGATCAATGGAGCATCTGTGAAGACCTCAGCCAAGCCAGTCACCAGGATGTGGACACCTACCAGCTGATGTCCCGAGGGAGCTGGATTTCCCTGCGTCTGCTTAAGGGAGCTGAGCGAGGATCCCCCGCTTGAGCGCAAAGGACGGAGGGGACGAGACCTGGCTGCTGGAAGGAGTTGGGGTCCCACCTGGGGTCTAGCCAGGCCGAGTCAGAGCCAGAACATGGGTTCACGGCAGCTTAGTCGGGCTCTGGGCTGAACAGGAGGGCCTGGGCTTTCACTGTTCTCTGCCACCCTAGGGGTTTCCTGGGCGGTGCTGGGTGACTAATAAACTGCCAACACCGTGTGTCGGGAGGGGCGTTAATCCTGCAGAGGGGCCAGGTCTCACCCGGGGCCTGCACTCGCTGCAGGGAGCGCACGGGGGACAGCAGGCCCCGAGGTGCAGTCTGAGTGAGACCCAGAGGGGCTCTGGCCCACGAAAAGGCTCCTCCTAGAGACTGTTCCGAAGCTGGGTCCATCGCCCCGCACCGGGCCCTAAACAGCCCCGTCCTGCCGGGCCCTGGTGTCCGTGCTCACGTCAATGGGGAGTGATAGCGCAGGCCGGGGCGATGCCCCTCAATCCTGACCCGCAGCCCCCTGCTAGCCGAGCCCTTTGAGAGGTGGCTTGGCTAGGCCCGGTTGAGCTGCTGCTCCTTGGCGGCCCCAGTGTGGGAGGAGCAGCCCCTCAAACTGCTCGCTGGGTCTTTCCTGTAGAGTCGCTCTGCGGCCGCTGCCTCCAGCCCACCCACCGGGGCTGTGCCCGGGAGGTGCCTGCAGGGACTGTCCAGCCAGTCAGCCTTTGCCCTGGCCACGGCCGGCAGCCCTTCACCTTCGGCTCCTGCCCTGGTGCGGCCCTTCAGGGCCCTCTGCTTGTTGGCCTGGCTCGGGGGGCCTCTGGCAGGGTCTCCTGGGCAACTGGCTCGGGTTTGGTGCCAGGGCGTGGTCACAGGGAGCTGCTACCCCAGCTGCTTGGGATCACAGCCCAGTGCTGCCCCTGCCTCAGGACCCTGCTCCCAGGAGTGTCCCTTACCCTGAGCTGGCTGCATGGGGCCTGCTCCCAGGTGAATGGGAAGTCTGGCCTGGTCTCCAGCCAGAAGTGCCAGTGGGGCTCCCCTCTGAGCTGGCAGCAGGGGTGGGAGCCTGGGGCGATCCGTGGGTCTGAGTGGATGGTGCCCCCTTCCTGGGAGCTTCCCCAGCCTGGCCTAGAGAAAGGGGTGGGGAATATGGCGGCAGTCCCCAGGCCAGGAGTGGCCGCATGGGCATGCTGGGCTCTGCAGGGCATTGCTCACCTTGGTTCCAGATGGGGCATTACCTCTTGTGGGGCACCCTGTGTGCTGGGGCCAGCTGAGGGTGGACGCCAGGAATCCCGGCTTCCTGCCCCAAGCCCTGTGGCTGCAGCAGGGCCTTTCCTGGAGTGACAGGGCTGCCCCCAACCTGGCCTCAGAGCTCCTTGGGGCAGGGACTCTCCCCTCTGCCTGGCAGCACCCTGCACTGGCTCACTGCACGGGTGGAACAAGATGCCCTCTGGGGGCCAGGCTGCCCAAGGGAGTTAGGGGCCTAAAGGCACAGACAGGCAGCAAGGGTGATTTTTCCGAATGTGCCTGGCATTCTCTGTATCGTGAGATTCCCTTGGACAATCCAGCTGGGACTTTCAGACTCTTTCTGTCTCCAGAATAACACAGCACTCTGCTCTCTCCATCCCACCCTCTGTGTGCCCCACCCCCCTGCTAGGCTTCGCATCTCCCCACAATCCCCACCTGACCAGGAGGAAGGGTGGAAGCTGCAGGGAGCTAGTCCGGGCAGGGCCAGCCTGGGGCGGGGCAGGGGGTTGGGCCCATTGCCTTTGCCCCTGTGGGCTCGGCCCGGGAAGGGGCCTCTTGCCCTGGGGTTGTAGGACCTGTGATGGAGGTTGTGGGGAGCTGGGTTGG